CATTCCTTGTGCCCCGAAGTGTGCCGAAAAAAGCACTACTGATGGCAAGCCAAATGACCTTCTTAGTACCATGAAAAGGATGACCCAACAAAATAGAAGCAAGGAGATCAGAGGTGTTGTTGGGGAAAGGCAAAGACCAACCAAAGCATCCAAAATATAAGCTAAAACCAAAAAGAAAATGGGAAATGCATGAATAAATTTCACGGGGACTCATTACTAGATTCACACACAATGCACCAGGAAGGAGATACGGTGATATAAGGCATTCGCCAATGAGGTTGATTTTCTTTGCAACTTTGTTTAAAAGTGTGAACAGGGCAAACTACAGACAGTTTCAGCAATTCTTGAACAGATTAAAGTTTTATCTTTATTTTCAACGACAAGTAAACAAAGCCAAATAGATAATAGAACTGCTTGCCTCTCCATTTGTTAGCCAGCTTTTGAAAAGTTCCTCACTATCTGTACGGAAGCTCTGAGAAAGATTCTTAAATCCCATCATCTCCATGGTTGGTGTTGACATTCCGATTGAGTTTTCCCCCCAAGATTTAAGAAATAGCTCCTCACTTGCATTTCTATATAATTCTGATACACCCCTTCCTTCCATTTTTATGATAATCTTTGGATCTTTTCGAGACAAAAAGAGGCCTAAATTCTACATATAAATACAGGTTTTAAAAAGGATCATATGCTCAGGCTATCCTTTGAAATCCCCAAATTCAACAAAATAAAAACATAAAAAAAAACCTCAAATTGAGCAGCCTACTCTGTTTGATCTTTTCAGAACCCCAGAACTTCTGTCGAATTCGTGCACATATAGTAAGAAATAATCGTTCTACTCAAGATGTTTGAACTCTTTCTACCCAGAAGAATAAATGGAAGCCCTTCAAGCCGTGGGCACTAATAACTTCAGAAGAATATCACAAACCCGAAAGGGAGCATTTATTAAACCAAAAATTATGATTAAACATATTGCCACAATAGTGATAAGGACGTATGAACTACCCCAATACTGTCAAACCACAACCATTGACTTCATATGATTTGAGAGTTGACAACCAAACCCCAAAACACCGTCCAAGCAATATCACAAGCAGCTAGGCCGGTAATAACTTTTTAGAACTAACAGACGTAATCAAAATGTGTGTATTTGAGGATGCTGCAGAGGGATATATTATTGCTCATTCAAAATTCCCCAGCAAATAGTAGACACATAGATGTGATTTCAAAAGATTTGAAGCATCCATTAATATTGGATTTTGTTGGAGATTCCCATGTCATAATCTGTCGTTTTACATGGAGTATAAGAAACAATTTCTTCCCTATTGGACGTCGTTGTAATTGAAAAGGTATGTCCAATATTTAAATCCCCAATCAAACAAGCAAATAAGACTTATTCCATCAATACAATAAAATAACCTAAAAGTATAATGAATAAATTAAAAAATACTTACGAGATAGAGCCAGATCGTGACGGCGACATGAAAATGACCAATAGCAACTGTCTCTATAATCAAATATGAAGCCGCTGAAATGGCGCTTTCATGATTTAGCGTATGCTGCAGGAGAGAAGGCCTTTCGAGTTTCTGACCTGAAAGAAGCCGACCTGTTCGATCAACGAGCGAATTACGCGGTTTCTCGTTCGGATTCTTCACATCCATCCATTGATTGAGGTTTCGTCTGTTCCATTGTTAATGAATTTTTTACAGAAATTTTCAACATCGCCTTTTTGCTCCTCCCGATGAAGGAAATCTTGTTCTTCGTTTCCCCTAAAGTGAACAGTTTCCCCTAAAGTGAACAGTTTCTTGAGCTGAAGCATGGCGGCAAGTTTTGAATAACTTCTGTTAAATTAAAATATTTATTCAATAATAATATTATAAAAAATAATTGTACAAATTTTTTAGTAACATAAAACATTTTTAAAAATTAATTAATAATATTTATATTAACAACAAAATTACTCTTATTTAGACGTAATCGGAGTTCATTTATATACCTTCATTTACTTGGGTGTCGTGCTATTCTTCCCCCGTGTCTCATCTTCTCGTTCTCGATGAAAATGAATCGAGAAAAGAAGGTGCGTACGAGAGAAAAAATGCTCATTATGTCATTCAACCCTCATAATTACTCTAATTTGAACGAGGTCTCGATTCATTTATGTACTTTTTTACTCATAAGTCATATAATTTGTTGACGATAGGTATAACACGTTTTGGTGTTAGTGACAGAAATGTACTCGCACGTATTGGTTGACGATAACAAATAAGTCATACTTTAACGTATTTGATGTCAAATTTCATTCTCACGGGAAAAATGCTCATTATGACATATTTTACTCCCGCTCCAAATGTCGTTGAATTAATTTTTTTATATATATATTAAAAAAAAATAGAAAACTAGTTGATATATTCCATCTAAAATTTAATTTTATATCAAATAAAACGTGACTTTCAATTTAGTTTATTAATTGTATTTTATTTTTAAAAATTAAATAAAATAACATTTAATAAAATTTAGAAACTAAATAAATACAAATAATTTAACGTTAAAAATTAAATTAATTTTCAATACAATTTGATTTATAATATATATATATATATATATATATATACACATAAGCAAGGGTCAGTTTCGTCATTATTGAAATAAAAAATGTTGACGTGTTGATTAAACAACTCCCTCTCACATAAAATATTAATAATTTGGAAAAGATCAAATTTGTCATTTTATTTGGAATGAGACGTTCAATTATGTACAATTATTGACTTCTATTAAATTAATTGTTTGAAAATAATAATAAATTTATAGTACAACGTAATTAAATTTATTTCATTATTAAATTGTCCCAAGATTTTCAATAATTTATAAGTGTTTAAATAAATGGTAAATTTGATATTTTCCTTTTTATTTTAAAATAAATAGTCAAAAATGGCGATGAGAAGAGTGTGAAGTAGCCAATTTGATATTATCAATTTATAGGTGTGTTTATAATTCAAATTAATTTGAAACAAAAAAGTTTTGTTTCAATTTAGGGTGAGTTTATGAATAAGGTCGTGGAATCACTCGAGACTTTGAATCGAAGGAATAGCCAAACTAAAGTCTCTGAGCCAAAAGGTAGGGATTTTAATGCTATTAAACCCTACCGCTAGCAGATATTATCTGTTTTGGCTCGTTACATACAGTCGTTAGCCTCACAATTTTAAAACGTGTCTGTCATATAGTGGATATAGCAAGTTATCGTTGCAAACCCCGAGATATTATTGCAGCAAAGGATGAAAAAAAATCGAGAGCACTGTTTCAAAATTATCTTGATTCATCCCTGCTTCAGGAATTGCCAAAACATTTGACTCTTCCGCCATTGCAATATAAAGGAGTAATCAATCTGTGAATGTTTGATTAATCCACCACACCACCTAAATGGTGTGAAAGTTATCTTATTTATAATCAAATGAATTACAAGGATATGGAAATAGTAATAAATGGAAATAACAATAAATGGAAAGATACCTATAATAATAAGGCAAATATTTATTTGCCTTATAATAAAATATCAAATATAGTATATTTGGTAAACTATAATTTATTACTAAATATCCTTAACACCCCACCGCAAGCTAAGCGTCGGATTTAAACGAACGTGAAGCTTGAATCTGAAAAATTCAAAGAGGTTGAGAAACACTTTTCATGAAGATGCTAACAACTCGGTTCTTGGCCATCAAAAATTGCAGAGGGATCGCCGCTCAGCGGCGATGCTGCCTTGGCTTCGGCGAGAATATGTCTAACCCATGAAGAGAGATTGTCGCTTAGCGACGATGCTGCCTTGGCTCTGGTGAGAATATTTCTAACCCCAAGAAGTAGAAGGGGAAACCTAGAGCAAGGGACAAAGACAATGTTGAAGCCGGAAGAGTCGCCACATTGGGCGAAGGAGCCAATTTTGGCGAGAAGGGCAGTCGGAAGAGTCGCCACATTGGGCGAAGGAGCCAATTTTGGCAGGAAGGGCTGCGGCAACATGGTTGGCGAATAGGCCAGTGCGGCACCTAGATTCCGAAGGTAAATCTCTGCAAAAGGTTGATGGGCTTGTCGAGATTCCGTATATTTCTGAAGAGAACACTGATGAGGATCCTGAGATTAGGGTTTCTGTGAAGGATGAAGGGTTGATTGGGAAGAAAATGAGAGAGACTATATTGGTCAAGGGGAAAACCGATTAAGTTAGAAAAGGTGAAGTTGTATGTACAGAGTATGACGAAAGGTGATTTGGAGGTCAATAGGGTGGAGCCGAAGAGTAATCAATCGACTCCGACTCCGGCAGCCATGAAGACTGCCCCTGCGGTGTCAAAACCAGCAGGGGTGGTGGAGAAGAAGATTAGAGGATTCAAAAGCTATTGAAAAGAAAGAATCAGGTCGTTAAACCGAAAGGGCTTTGATACCATGTGAATGTTTGATTAATCCACCACACCACCTAAATGGTGTGAAAGTTATCTTATTTATAATCAAATGAATTACAAGGATATGGAAATAGTAATAAATGGAAATAACAATAAATGGAAAGATACCTATAATAATAAGGCAAATATTTATTTGCCTTATAATAAAATATCAAATATAGTATATTTGGTAAACTATAATTTATTACTAAATATCCTTAACACAATCATATAATAGATAGTAAATGGATCAGTTTGAAAATAAATAAATTGCTCGTTGTAGAATCTAACTAAAAAACAAAGGTTTGAAAAGTAAAGTTTTGATCCGAAAGTTTTTCTATCATTCATAACAGGTCCAAGTGGATAATATTTGCAAACTGCGGGCTTAGATAGTTAAAAATGATATTAAAGTTAGACACCGAACAGTATGTCAACAAAGACGCTGAACTCCCAAGGGGGTGGATTGTGAGATCGTTGGAGAGGGGAACGAAACATTCCTTATAAGGGTGTGAAACCCTCTCCCTAATAGACGTGTTTTAAAACCGTGAGACTGACAAAGATACGTAACGGGCCAAAACAGACAATATTTGCTAACGTCAGGCTTAGGCTGTTACAAAGTAAAAACAAAATTAAATTGGTTAAGATATATTTCTTCGATCAAGATGTCAAGAACCTGATCATAATTAAATTGGTTACGACAATCAAATGTTTTCGATTAAGAGATCAGAGGATTAAATCACCGTATCGCCAAATGACGATTGGAAAAATGACGATATTCATGAATCAATCAACAAATATACACTGCCAATACAAAAATATGATTCAATGCCAAGTTTTCCTTTCTCAAGAATGCTAATTTGATAATGTCATAGATAGAAAAAGAGTCCAAATTCCCAATACCTCTTTAACTTGTGGTAAGTAGAGACGAAGGTGATGAGCTCAGCAAGTTCCAGAATATTTCTGGTTTCCGCTTACCATGACTTTGCTCACACATAAGATTCTACAAGTGAATCATATAAATCGAAAGCCTAGAAAACGGTACATTGAAACGCTTGAAACTAGTATATCTCGTCGTCGGGGACATCTGGTGAGAAGAATTTTTTGGGATCTTTACTAATTTCTATATAATTTAAACTTGCCTTCACTCGTTCTGGCACGGGTACGAGAGGTATAATGCTGTCCTTGTCGATCACTCCATCAATCAATCCATATTCTACAGCCTCTATGGGGGACATATAACGATCCCTATCGATATCTTTTTGGACCTTTTCAAATGGATGGCCAGTGAACTCGGAAATGATTCTTGTAATGTTGTTCTTGTTATGCATGATTTCACGTGCTTGAATTTCCACGTCTATTGCTTGCCCACTCGCCCCTCCAAGAGGTTGATGAACCATAATACGTGCATTGGGCATCGCAAGACGCTTTCCTTTAGTGCCACCACCGAGGATTATGGAAGCTGTTGAGGCTGCAATGCCTAGTGCAATAGTAGAGACATCGGCTCTCACGAGCTGTATGACATCGTAGATAGCCATGGTTGCACTAATGAAAACAACATTAATAGAAGGAAATCAGGCAAGGGTAATGTAATACAACCAAACACGAAATATTAACTAAGAAGACTATCGACTTTCAGAATGATAATGAATATGATGCAAAAATGGATGAGATCAGGTGCCACTCATCGAAAGTTGAACCTAAATTTCCAAGACAGAAGAGGGAAAAACCAACATATATAGTAAAAACGCCTAATAATTGATATTTCCAGCTTCAAATAAATAATGACAAGAATTTTTATAAGTATGATTATATAACACTCCTACTTCTAAAATTTGAAGTCCTGGAACACACAAAACAAATGAAACCACGTAACCTAGTCTTCCTTCTGCCCCTGGCCTGTTCTTGCTAGATGTACAGGTTTGTCCGAAAAGGGTTTGCTTTATACGATGGGGAATGAGCTTAGTGTTGGATTCCACATCGGCTAATTTAGGAAATGATCATGGGTTTATAAGTGAGGAATACTAACTCCATTGGTATGAGGCCTTTTGGGAAGCCCAAAGCAAAGCCATGAGAGCTTATGCTCAAAGTGGACAATATCATACCATTGTGGAGAGTCGTGTTCGTCTAACATGGTATCAGAGTCATGCCCTAAACTTAGCCGTGCCAATAGATTGGCAAATCCTCGAATGTCGAACAAAGGACTCCAAAAAGAAAAAAGGAGTCAAGCCTCCTCGAAGGTACGAAGGCAGTAAAAAATGACTAAGACTCCAAAGGAGTCGAGCCTCGATTAAGGGGAGGCGTGCTTTGTTCGAGGGGAGGTGTTGGATTCCACATCGGCTAATTCAGGGAATAATCATGGGTTTATAAGTGAGAAATACTAACTCCATTGGTATGAGGCCTTTTGGGAAGCCCAAAGCAAAACCATGAGAGCTTATACTCAAAGTGGACAATATCATACCATTGTGGAGAGTCGTGTTTGTCTAACACTTAGGATCTCAATCTAGGAAGATAACTGGTTTGATTGCTTGAAAGAAGACCGAACTTGGGGGACATTCGGCTGAAAAGGAATCTGCTCGGTACACAACTGGGAGACTGTGGTTTGGATTATGACAAAGTTAGAAAGGTGTGTTCGTTAATCAAAATAAGGATTAATAGATGTGGAACTTATTAAACATAACCTTTTCTGACAAATGGGCTAGGTAGAGTACATAATTTCTTCAGATTACACCTCTCACGAGCATCCTTATGTAGTTGCATATCAATATACAATTTGAAAATAGCTGATTTGGTGGTGAATGATAGATTTACCATTAGCAAGTAGTTGCACATCAAAGATGCAAAGAGAGGATCATGAAAAGGTCATTCATAAGCCACAGAATTCTAAATTAAATTACTCTTGAAGATTTCCTAATGTACATAAAGGCCATGCAAACCATGGATACAAAAATGTTTCCATGGTTTGCTGATATTCCCATTCATGTAGAAAAGTAGAGTAGATGAATACACTTGACTCTAGACATAGACACAAACACATTAAATTCCTCAGTGGTCGCCCAACAGGCACATCCCTTCTCCAAAGAAGAAAGAATCTCAAAGAGGCAACATGTCACCAGTGCAGTTCAGAAAGAAACATTCAATTCTTGGTTTGGCCAACATGCTTACTCACTTAGGAGGAGTGTTAGCGCCTATCTCAAAGGAGCACTGATTTAGGAAATTGGTCCTTATAAAATGGGGTTCTTGATTGGCTCAGATCATCCATCAAGTCGACAGAGAATATCATTTGGTCATTCATTGTGAGGCCAGTTATTTGGTAGATTTGGAATGAATTGAACTTGAAGATTTTCAAGACAAAGAAACTCTCCACTCGAAGTCCTAAAAGCCTATTGTTTCATAGCTCCTTATTGGTGTAAAAATATGGTTCATTTTCTTTTTTTATAGATTTTTTTAGATTTTTTTTTTTTTATAAGAGACAATTTCATTGATGATTGAAATTTACAAAAGGGAAGTAATATCCATGGTATTTACAAAAGACCTTCCCAATTTGCAATGAGTGAGGTATAACTATAGGAAGTAAAAATATTAGACAGTTTACACCAAGATATAGCTTGGTAAACAACATTGTCGAAAAGTTTTGTAAGTATGTGTTTTTCTACAAATATTCTCTGATTTCTTTCTTTCCACAATTCCAAAGGAAAGCCATGATGAGATTTTTCCATAGTAGGACTTTTGCATTCTTGAAAGGGAGTACGTTAAGGCCATATCCTATATATCCTTTACCTCCCTAGTAAATGTGAGATGTCATCCGAATATATTGAGAATCGTTGTCCAAAAATATGGTTCCTTTTCAGATGGGTTTACCTATTTGTATCATTTCATTTAGTCCGTGAAATTGATTCCTATCCAGAACGGTGGGGGGTTCATAACAGAATCACATGTAAACCTTTGTGCAACATGTTGTTAATTGAATAAAAAGATGGTCCCCATCATTAGATATGCAGGGTAAGCAAAGAGATAAAGCCATGGAAGGGATCATCTTTTGAATCCAATCACAAGTGTTTAGGCTCTTGTAAGTCATATCCCAAAGGAAGAACTGAGAGTTCTCCTTTCAAACCAAAGAAAAAAGGGTTTATCTAACCAGCCTTCTTTACAATTCAGCTGGAGATTGGCAGATTTCATTGATGTCCCCCCGACCATTGCCATTTTTTAAAAGGACACTGATAAAAGAAATCTCATATTTAATCAATGTCAGCTCTAGAACCTAAGTTTCACAAAGATTGCCAATCGCATATTTACTCGATTAAGCCTCTTCTAGGGGGACTCTCTTCACCCAAGCATCCACTTTGAGAGGAAGGCGGTGTTTCTAGTCCTTACATTTCAAATTCTCAAGCCACCCAAAGAAATAAGAAGACCAGCAAAGTTCCGCGTAACACGGTAGACTAACACTCATGCACGGTTCTTTCTTTTCTTTTTTTTTTTTTCTTTTTTTAAAATAATTTCAATGTTGAATGTTCATATAACTTTCATCATTCACAAGCATTTCTATGGATAGCTAGGTGCATAACATGAATATCTCTATATATTAAAAGTAATTTTCCATTCCAAGTTCATTGATCTACAACGAATCCTAGATTTTCAGTGACCCAACTCACCACCGGAATGAATGCCCCCATTCGTACGCTAACCGTTTGTGAAGCAGATGAAGAAAACTATATAGAAATTGCGAGAGGCAGAGATCAAGTAACGTAGGCTAACTCTTGCATTCGGCGCGGTAAGGAAAGCATATGAAAGTTAGGCATAAATCGCATATTCCTAGAAATAAAATTACCTAAATCGTTTGGAAAGAACACAAATGAGCCCGAATTTCATATTCCATACTTCACCAACTACATTATGCACAAAAAATCACCTCGTGAATACCTGAGAGAGCCGCCAGAGGAATTAATGAAAAGTCTGATATCTTTAGTAGAGTCCTGAGCATCCAAGAGCAAAAGCTGACTGATAATAGCATCCGCCACAAAATCATCGATGCTGTTCCCCAAGAAGACAATCCTCTCCCTGAGAAGCAGTCCCATAGCGTCAGTCTCGGCGCCTCTCTGGGCGGCATCCGGCGTTTGCGGACCCGTCATATGAACAGAAGAGGACGTAGCTAGGGTTCTCGAGGGCTTACGAGCGGTTGTTTTGAGAACCGATGAAGCCGAAGGAAAAGAAAGACCGGATTTGAGCTTTGGATAGAAATTTGACGGTTTCCCATGAGAATTGAGAAGGCCGAGAGAGGAGGCATGAGGAATCAGAGTAGAACAGCGTGAAAGAAGCTCCATGGATTTGCAGCACTGCTCTACTTCAGCTCTGAAACCAGGAAGAAGCTGATAGACGATGAGTTTGGGGATTTGGTTGGGTGAGAAGTACAGAAATACAGAAATACAAAAATTTGGGGAAATTCGGCAATTTTAAAAACCCACCCATGCATTTATCAAAATAGCACTTTGTGCCCCAAATTCTTAACTCAATTTTATCTATAAAATATAAATATTAATACATTTTCTTTTTTACAAAAATTAAATTATTATTATTACTATTACTCTCCCATATTTTCTTGATATTTTTACCTATTTTTAATTTTTTTATTATATATATATTAAACGAATATAAGATTGAACCGTAGACTTTTAAAATATCGATATTTGAGTATTTTTTATCTTTATTTTGGAATTTTAAATCTATGGAAGGAAAATGATAAGCCCCAACAAGATTGGATTTTACTCAGCTAGAGGTCTATCTAGAATCCTTGCAAGCATTCACAAAAAAGCTAACTTAACCAATTGATTACCACCAAAAGTTGGTTAGAAGATGAATGACCTTAAATTAAACTTGAAATCTATAATGGTCAATCTTAGATTCCAAGACGACTCACTCCATAATTAGCTTTATCAAAACTAATTCAATGAATCGGTTTAAACATCACCACTAAAGCAAGGTTTGAAAAATAATAACACAAAAAAAGTATCAAGAAAACATATAGGTTTTGTTTGTATTCAACAATGATTCTCAAACATGAATATTATATACATTTTAAACAAACTACAACTACCAATAAAAGCGAGTAAATACAAGTAAATTATTTTTTTAGTAAAAATAATTTATAAAATTTTTAATTGAATTTAAAATTGTAAAATTATATTAAAAAACGAACTAATATAGTATTTTATATTAATTTATTTTTTGTTAAATTAAAAAAATATATAATATAATTAAACTAACATAAGGTTCGAATTATTCGCTTAAATTTGTTGTATTTAAAAAAAAATATTATAAATTATAAAACAAAAATTATTTTATAATTTTTAATTATTATTATTTTCTAAAACATCCTAGATTTTTTTTTTCTAAACCCTAATTTACCGCCACGCCTTTCCTTCCCATTACTAGCTACTGTATCCCGACTCTCCCCAAGCCGCTGACCTCTTCTGCCTGACGCCATCTCAACGGCTGCCGCCGCACGTTGCAGTCTCAGCCTCCCGGCGATCTCACCGCCGCTCCCTCCCTTTCACAGTCTTTCGCCTCACCGAGTAATCAGCGTTACTTGCTTTGTTGTTGTTTTTTTTTTCCTTAGAAAATATTTTTTCTTCCAAACCAGGGTGTTCCAAACAAGGTTAATGTGCCATATCTGAAATTCGTATCAATTTTACTTCGGCACTTTCTCGATACATGCTTCTTCTAACCGGAATTTACATTTTTTTTTTATTGCGATTCGTCAGAACGGAAATGGATCCTTGGTTTTGATTTATGTCTGTCTTGTTTGTGTTCTGTGGAATTTTATCCGTTTTTCTTGATTTGTGTGTGATTTGCAATTTGCAATTTGGATCCTTTGGCCGAATGTGATGCTGTTTCTATAACTAGCCGGCGATTAAGGTGTAGATAATGATAAGTGATAACTAAGGTGAATGGCGTCGTTTTCCGATTTCCGACTGATTCGACTGAATATTTCTCACATTTTCCTTTTCTGTGATGGATTTTTCTTTCTTCGGCGAAGGTTTTTTTATGCTGATGGATTTTGTTATGCTTCCTAGGTGATAACAGAGCAACGGACTGTAACAACACAAATTGCTTATGAAAATTCTATTCTTACGCAAGTCCTGCTGCACAAAATACAGTCCCCAACCTGTACCGTTTGGAATTTCATCGAGCTCGATCTTCTGTCTGTAGAAGCTTGTTGGCAGTAATTCAAACTCATTTTCGCACATCGTTCTACTTCTGTTCCTATTGTTTGGAGTATTTTTGGATCACAGCTGATTCTACAAGAGAGAGTAAAAAATGGCCTTTAGAGGAAAGGAAATGATGAAGAAGATATTGAAGAAGGTTGGAGAAAACAATCTTGCGCCTGGAGTGAAGGATTCATTGAAGAAATGTATTCCAGACTCCAAAGTGGTGATGAATAGGGCGAAGCGCGGCATTTTTGCTGGCCGTCACATCCAATTCGGTAACCGTGTCAGTGAAGACGGTGGCAATAAGTATGAACCTCTGTTCTTTCCTTTATTTTTTTCAAAATCTTGCGTCGTTTCTCTCTGAATTCGGTGGCGTGAAACCATTAGTCCCTTTCCCAATATGAGAATAGCTTAACGGTTAAATGATATCATGTTAAGTCCAAACCGCTAGGTGATATTGTTCTCTTTGGACTTTCCCTTTTGAGCTTCCCCTCAAGGTTTTAAGATGCGTCTACTCGGGAGAGGTTTCCACACCCTTGTAAGAAATGTTTCATTCCCCTCTCCAACCAATGTGGGATCTCACAATCCACTCCCTTGGAGGTCAGCATCCTTGCTGACACACTGCCCAGTGTCTGGCTCTGATACCATTTGTAATAGCCTAAGTCCACCGCTAACAAATATTGTCCTCTTTGAGATTTCCCTACTGGGCTTCCCCTCAAGGTTTTAAAATGTGTCTACTATGGAGAGGTTTCCACACCCTTGTAAGAAATGTTTCATTCCCCTCTCCGATCAATGTGGGATCTCACAATCCACCCCCTTGGAGGTCAGCGTTTTCACTGACACACCGCCTAGTGTCTGACTTTAATACCATTTGTAATAGCCTAAGCCCACCGCTAACAGATCTTGTCTTCTTTGAGATTTCCCTGCTGTGCTTCCTCTCAAGGTTTTAAAATGTGTCTACTAGGGAGAGGTTTCCACACCCTTGTAAGGAATGTTTCGTTTCCCTCTCCAACCAATGTGGGATCTCATAATCCACCCCCTTGGAGGTTAGCGTCCTAGCTGACACACGGCCCGATGTCTGGCTCTTATACCATTTGTAATAGCCTAAGCCCACCGCTAGCAGATATTGTCCTATTTGGGATTTCTTTGTTGGACTTCCCCTCAAGGGTTTAAAACGCGTCTACTAGGGAGAAGTTTTCACACCCTTATAAGGAATGTTTCGTTCTCCTCTTCAACCAATGTGGGATTTCACACATCAACCTCTACCCTTTTTTTTCTTCGAACTAGTTCAAATTTCCACACCCACACCCAAAAAAAAAAAAATAATAATAATAAGAGAGAGATCTTTAGTCCCTTTTAATTGCATAGCTTGATTTATTGTTTTTTACAATTGCAAGTGAAGGCGCCATAAATGAATAAATTCATAGCATCAAAGACATTTGGCAGAAAATTCTTGCTGTTACTATTTCAAAACTTACGTCTTTGTGTTCATGCTTCTGATTTTTTCTTATCTGTTTGTTACTGCCTTCTTGATGAGTGTTTGGATTTTGGATGCGGGGTTAGCATATGAGTTAATTGTTCTGCTAAAACTCTTATCCACACTACTTGATTACGAATTGTAGTTAGAATCAAGTGGAGATTTTGTAATTGCTTTGCTCTGAGGTTTTTATGCCCCACTCCTTTTGTCATTCTAAGAACATGTGGAGGAACCCTAAGATAGGGTGATTGGGGGCGTAAAGTTGGGCTTCAGCGCGTGTCTCGCTTCCTAAGCCCAACAGCCCCGACCCTCTGTTTGACATCCCAAGTTCAATTAGAGAAACCAACTGACTCGAACAACATCCTACTATTCAACCCCTCCATCGATCACTATTTCAACCCAAGCTTCCTAAACTTGTGCCCCCAAATACAGAACCTGTGAACCCAAATGATCCATTAGAAGTTGGGAAGAGAAAATGTACTTATAGTTGTGTTTCCTTCTGTGTGTGAACGTTATTGGCTTTTGCTGTATATTTGTAGCCTTATATTTACATGTCAAGGGTATGCCTCTCTTGCTCTTGTATTCAGAAATTCGAGAGCACAATATAATAATTTCGTTTTCTTCCTTTGTTTCGGCCTTATGTCATATAAGGGTTCGGTGCGTTTTACGATTATTTACGATTATTTTGTCATGCTATCAATTTTCAATTTTGGAGTATTAGCCGTAATGTGCTGGTGCTTATAGGTCAAGAAGGAGCTGGAAACCAAATGTCCAAGAGAAGCGACTTTTCAGTTATATTCTAGACCGCCATATTCGAGTTAAAGTCACCACTCATGCCCTTCGATGCATCGACAAGGCCGGTGGAATTGATGAGTATCTGCTGAAAACTCCATACCACAAAATGGACACTGAAATTGGGCTGTTTTGGAAGGCAAAAATCGAGAAGCTGTACGAAGAACTCGGGCAGATGGAGGTCGTTTTCTTCTCACCAGAGGACGAAGCTAAATTTGAACAGGGCTTTAGAGACCTGAAATTATCCGAGAGGGCAGCACGAAAGGAGACGAGAAGACGGATGTATGGTAGTTCGACCCAACGTGATCAGATCGAAGAGGGACAAGCAGACCGCGTTGGATCTAGTGAGGAAGTTGCAGGTTCCGAAGGAGGCTCCCATGGTGATGATATGGTCCACAGCAATGGGTTGCCAACGCCTAATTAATTATAGGACTTTTTTTCCAACCAAGGAGTTCAAGCCTCGACTCGTTCCCTACCTTTTCCAAGATTTGTTTCCTCTCATTTTCACTTGGTTTAATGTTTAATGTATTCAGATAGAAATGAGAATTGTTTTTTGGAAATTGAGATGTGAAATCTTAGAACCATTTATTGTTCAATAAGATTGGCTTAATGTATGAAAAAGATCGTCTCATATTTTGTACTACCCTATCACTCAGAAGATGGGGATGGGGAAGGCTTTTGGTCCTTCTCTTTCCATGTACATCTCTTTTTCTATATCCATCGCTACATGATCACGTTGCCTATTTATTACTTTCAAGCTTGAAGATTATTCCTCCGACTAATACGAGTTTTGTTTTTTATCGTTTTCTCCACTATATTTTTAAAATAAAGGTTTAGAAGTAAGTAAGTAGATATGAAACATACTGTTAATCTTGCTGTGGAACAGACTATTATTGCGAAAATCAGTGAATACAACCAACTATCATTAAGAATTTCATTTTTTTGGACCAAAACAGACAAAGGGTGGAATAAGTGTTCGTATTGATTAGATTAATCAACCTAAGTTAAAGTAAGAATTTAGAATTAATTTTCTATCCGAAATTCAAATAACAAATATTATATAAACTCTATTTTTCTCTATTTTTTTTTAAAAATAATAATTATGGATAAGTCTCGTATTTTTTGTGTGATTTAAAATATTTTTTTGATTAATTTACTTTATTTAATTAAAATGTAGAATTACTATTATCTTTGTTGGAATAAAATTATAATTTATTCAGATTAATTAATCATACTTCAAAATATGTGTAATTTTTTAATTTCAAATCTCCAACATTTGGTAACCAAACTTAACACAATTTCTGTTGGAAATACTAATATTTATTTTATTTTATTTTGGAAATTAAAATATTTGTAATAACTTGGTCAACAAGCCAAGCCTCTCCTCTAAAAAATATACACGTTTATTCCGACGGAAACCACGGCTGTGATCCGCAATCGTACAGCCCGGTTATCTTATCATTAACCCACCATTTTGTAACTCCTAGGAAATTCCATTGTACTTTGAAGGACGATATATTTTTTAAAAAATTTTAATTTTAATTTATTTAAAAAATAATTGTAAGTTCCCAACTTCCATATTTCTCAATAAATGTGATTTAATTAAAAAAAAATATTTTATCTTTATTTAATTTAGCTATTTTTTAAGTATTAAAAAGTGTAGAATTTTTAAATTTGTATTCAATATATCAATTACCTTTTTATTTTTAATTTTAATTTTATAGATAATATTACTATTTTATATTTTAATTTTAAAAATATTTAATAAATTTTTAAACTCTCATTTAATTTAAATTTAAGATTTATTTTTTAGTAGAAATTTAAATAAAGGGTAAAATAGTAATATTAATCGTTATTCTAAAAGGGTAAAATAGTAATTCAAAGTCATAGAATAAATGGTACCACCTATCAATTTTCAATTTAAAAATAGATATCTTCTCAATATTATGACTCAAACCCGATCCAATTAATTGACCTGTGGTATTTTTTCTTGTTCTTCCTCGTGACTCCGTTAAAAATATTCTTTTAAATTTACATAATATTACATAATTATTTTAATTTATTGATTGTTAAAAGGAGTAATTCATTAAAAAAAATAATAATAAATATTTTTTTTATTTTTTATTTGAACATTAAAATATTTATAATAGACTTTTTTTTCGTCCAATAAAAAACAAACGCGTTTATGGAGCATTTTGAATACCACGGCTGTGACCAGAAATCGTCACAGCTCTGTGATCCCATCAAATACGCCCCATTTTCTCGACCACTAGGAAATTGTTAAATTTTTAATTTTAATTTATTTTTATATAATTTACCTCCAAATTTAAGTTATTTATTTATTTTTAGTGTCATAGAACTTTATATATCCTTTATTTTAAATTTTATATTTAATAAGTCTATTCAAAGTCTTGAGATTTTTATTTATTTATATTTTAATTTTTTTTAAAAAATAATTTATCTAATGATAGTGTGAATTTTAACAAATTTGAAAGTTGATAATTAAAATTTCGAGTGGGACCCACAGAAATGTTTAATTGTGTAATTAATTTATGTTTTATCTAAGAATTAGCCTACAACTTTGGTGGTCACACGTGTCAATATCTGATTGGATAATCTCCAATATATTTTTAAATTATTAATAATTGTGGATGGACTCCCTATAAATTCTTCATTCTTCGTTTTTGCTCTTCGTATCTTCCGCTTCACTTTCGTTACACAAACTTCAAACATTTCATTTCACAGTCGATGGAAAAGGGGAAAATGGCAGAGAACGGAACGCCAATGGTGCTCCGCATGAAGAAGGCATTGACGAAACTCACTGCCTTAGTCCGCTTCTGTCACGTTTGCCGGCCGCCTTCCCGGCGGATGCGATCATTCGATTCCGACGGTCGGACGGCAGGGCTACGGAGTATCTTGGGAGACGAAAGCATCATCGAGAAATGCTCCGTGAGAAAGCTCGAGCGTGGTGAGAGTTCGAGGATTGGAAGCTATGAAGACGATGTCGATCAGCGAGCGCAGATTTTCATCGACAATTTCCGCCGTCAATTGATGCTAGAAAGACAAATTTCTTTGAAATTGAGGTACTATGGCATTAATAGCTCTGAAATCGATTACGAAGCGAAATCTCCGCCGTTCTCGTCCTCGATTCGTTGAACGAATTTATTTTTCATATTGAACTGAAATTGTTGTGTTGTTGAGTTCTGTAACGAGGTTAGCATGATTTGAGTGAAGTGAAACCGGAGAAATTCGGAAGAGAGTGCTTATTCCTGGAATTTTGATTTGTTGTGTGTTTTTGTCTTCTCGTTTAAGTTTCTCATCAGTTGTTCATGGCTTCAGTTTTCCAGATTTGTAATTGTTTATGCGTTGAATATATATTTATCACTTGAATGCTGTTAAATTCTTGATGAATTTATTTCTTCTGTTCTATTTGGATCTGTTGCTTAGAACAGTCTCTCAATAATATGAACTCACCGAATAAAAAATTTGTGAAATACATAGAGTGAGAGATACATGATCTTTTATTGAAAATATGAAAAAAATTATTTACAAAAATGTCCATTAATAACCATATTGTATTGAAATATCATGAAGTGAAATCTCTATATCGAAATGAATATCACATTCTAATTCTAACATTACTGCAATTGAGTGGTTCATTGAGAAATACATGAAATTCAATCATAGATATTGTAAAGGTTGTTGAGAAGGGCTAGTATTATTATTCGTTAGAGTCAACTTTGTTAGCTGTTCAAACAAATCGTATTTATGGATGTGTAGTATTAGATCAAAAATCAAAAAGCATATGAATGATGAAAATGTGTTTGTTATAATAGGAAAATGACATGATATAATAGTCAATAATTTGAAATAAAGTTTCGTCATCTTTATTATATAAATATACATAAACATAATAAAATTTAACTTAGAGAATTTAAAATTTTAATGATATAATTCGTAACAAATTAAAATGTTAACTATAGTTTAATTTTTTTTAATGGAATGAACCAAAAATTGTACGTTTGGTAACCGAAATTGCTGACATGTCAATGGAAATATTAATAAATATATTTTAAAAAAAATTGGACACTAAAATATTTGCTACGTAGACAAGAAGCTCTTGTTTGAGCAGACCGAAACTACGGCTGTGATCCGTAGTCGTCACAGCCCTGTCATCCCATCAAATGCACCCTCATTTTATCGACTGTATTGTACTAAATTAAAGTGACAATTTTAAAAAATAACTAAACAAAACTAAAAATATATATTAAATCATGAAACGTGGCAAAAGCCCATTGGACCTCTCCGATCAAGTTTTTTGGGCTTTCAAGACTTCGAGGATGGGCCTCAGGCGTGTTATATTCATGGGCCTACTTGGACCACAAAGCCCATTTCATTTATTATTTTCCAAAAATATTTAAATTTGCGTCAATATATTATTTTTAATTACTTATAAAAGTCAATCCAAGCGGAGTTGAACTCGTGTCCTTACCTTCGTTTGGTCTCGTTGATTTCAACACTACTCAACTAGTTAAGATATTGTACTTTCAATTCGCAGTTAGAGACTCGAGACTCGAACATATCGTTGAGATGAAAAAATTATTTTCAACTTGCAGTTAGAGAATCGAGACTCGATTATATCATTGAGCAAAAGAAATTGTTTTTAATAAATCTTAAATTTATTCTATTTATTTTTAATAAAAATAAATTTAAATTTAGTTCTTCTACTTAAGTATTAATTTTTTTATTAAAAATTATAGAATAAAAGTAAAGATTTAAAATAAGGTGAATAAATTAAAATATATCTGAATCAAAAAATGTTTTAATGAATAATGTATTAAAGTGGGGGCCACATGACACGTGGCGAGATCATATGGCTCAATTGTGAGTGACAACGCTTAGAGATCATCGAAATAATAAACAATAGTGGACCCCACAAGGGTTGCGTAATTTTCCCCCGCCCATCCGTAGCTGATCGGGAGGAATATCCCCACTCGTGTGGTCCCCACTGGATTCAACTTCGTTATATCGTGCGTCCACTCGGCGATTTTTAGTCTCTTTACCTTTTATTTATTTTTAAATAATAATAATAATAATAATAATAATAATTTATATCAAATTTGATAATAATTTGGTTTGGTCGGATAAATATTTAAGTTATTTGTTTATTTTTTATTTTTTAAAATTATATTTATTTTTCTAATAATATCTTAATTTTCAAAAATAAAAAACAAAATAATTATCTGTACTTAAAAAGTTCTTCCGTTCATTCTATCTCATTTACTCGTATTAAAATTATAATTTGTAACAATTTAATTTTCCTATTTATAATTTTGTAATAATTTAATTTCTCTAGCGAAAATTATTGTTAAAATTTTAATAAATTTTTGTTACGATCAAACACCAACAATATTTATAAATTACAAAAAATAATTAAATTATTATATCATATAAATTAAATTATTACAAATTTAAAATATATTGAGAATAGAAGGAAGTAATTTTGAAATAATTAAATTAATTATATCATTTTAAAATTATTTTCCAATTCTTTTAGTCACACCTTAAAGCTATAAAAAATATATTAAACTAATTTTCAATGAAAAAAAAATAGAAAAAATAGAAAATAAACTAACAAAATAATTTTAACAATTATTAAATTAGTCCCAACTAAATTATTATTTTAGATAATTTGTGATTGGTCCCTATATTTTGACTTTATTTGATTTTGATCCATATATAAACCATTTAAGAATACATGTATTAAAATGAATAAAAAGTAAATGTAAAGAAACCAACTAGTATTTATTTATTTATTTTTAAAAATTTTATTTAAAAGAAAATATAGTTTTTATTTATATATATATATATATATTTCTTTTGAAGGCGATTTCTCGGCGATTTATTCCTTCTGTACCACTCACCTCCATGTATTTAAAAGATCCACACTCGTCGTCCTCCCCAGTTAGTATTTCGTTTCTGTATTGAGCTTCGAGTCGCCATGGGTTTGAAGGTAGGTTTCTCTCTCATTCTTCTTCTGAATTCTCAGTTTCTTTACGTTATTAGCTTCGAAGCTCTCAAATCTTCTCTTTATGCCATTTTCTTGTTCGACCAGTAGTTGAATTCTTCGTTTAGAATGGGTGATTTGATGCCGAATGATTATGCTTAGCTTTTCATTGGTGATGATCTTGGCATTGAGTTAGGGTATTAGTGCAGATCGCTGCATGTCTCTTGTTTTGCGTCATAGTTATGCATTCATAATATGTTAGATTTGTTGGACTTTGTTAGAATGATTTCTGTTGGAATTGTCTGTTCAGATCTGTTTATTTTTTAGTCGATCTGTGTTTTTCTTTCGAAGAATGAACGACATCTGGTTGTTCCAGATCGACAGATGTGAATCTTTTGGTTGTTTCCAAATTGATTGCTTGAGTTATTACACTGTTGCGGGACTCTAGATATTTAGGGCTATAGGTGCAGAGAATTGTAAGAACTTCATATATTTGTTCTATTATATGGAACTAAAAGCACGCAGTCTGTATTACAACTTGATGAGGCTGAGTTCTGCAGGAGGAGTTTGAGGAGTATGCTGAGAAGGCAAAGACCTTGCCGGAGAACACAAGCAATGAAAACAAACTCATTCTCTATGGACTATACAAGCAGGCCACTGTTGGACCCGTGAACACTAGTAAGTACTGTCTTTCATTGAATATAATTTATAAATGAAAATTGTGTATAGATGGAATTATGTGATCAAATTCTCCAATTTAACCGTTTATTGCAACTATGACTGATTTGTAGGCCGACCTGGAGTGTTCAACCAGAGAGACAGAGCCAAATGGGATGCCTGGAAGGCTGTTGAAGGTAAGTTTTCTCAGAATTCAACACTATGAAATGGATTTTTTCTATTTTTCGATGACATTGAAATATGTTTACTCTTTTTTGCTATGAACTCTCTTAGATTAAAGATTTGTAAAAAATGTACAACAATGAGCTTGATTGAAGAGAATTAAATGTTTTTGCAGCAAAATCCAAGGATGATGCAATGAGCGACTACATCACGAAGGTGAAACAGTTACAAGAGGCAGCTGCTGCTAACTGATAAGTTTCTCGATTATCTGTATGAACAATGATGTTGAAATAATCCTTGTTTAAGTTCAGTACTTTTATCATATTTATCTAAATTGTGTAACAATGACTATGTGCAAGTATTATTACTATTGGATTTCGCTAATGAATCTTCAACCTTTTAACCAAATCAATATACTTAGGCTTGCTAATTGCTTTTTTTTTTCCCACTTAAAAGCAGTATTCAAGCTGATAATTGTCAACCGGATTTGCAAAACTAGAGGTTATTTTAGGATCCTTGCAAAATTTCACAAATAAAGTTAATTTAACGATTTCATCTTTAGAGTCGCCAAAGAACGGCTAAAGAATGTTCTCTTTAGGTTTTCTCTTTCGAGCTTTTTCTCAAGATTTTAAAAATGCTTCTGCTAGGGAGAGGCTAAGGAGAGGTTTTCACACTTTTATAAAGACGGTTTCGTTCCCTTCTCCAACCGATGTGGGATCTCGCAGTCCAGCCCCCTTCAGGGCCCAGCGTGATCACTGACACTAGTTCTCTTCTCTGATCGACGTGAGATCTTACAATCCAACTCTTTCAGGGCCTAGCGTCGCACGTTTTTCTCTCCAATTGATATGGGATCTCACATCCACCTTCCTTCGGAGTCTAGTGTCCTCACTGGCACACCGCTCGGTGTCCACCCTCCTTCGAGATTCAATGTCATTGCTGGCACACTATCTGGTGTCTGGTTCTGATACCATTTGTAACAATTCATCAAATATTGTCCTATTTGGGCTTTCTTCAAAGTTCTTAAAATGCTATTTCCACCCTATTCTAAAGAATATTTTGTTCCCTTCTCCTACCGACCTTGTTAAGAACTATTGTCAGCAGCCCCATGATCCATCCAAACACTAGACACTAGAATTACAGGTCTCAACATTGCATGTGTTACAACCCTGTTCACCATAATCAAAAGGCTCATCCATGTTTGTTTGAATTGAATGTCTTCCTCTATAACTTTCATAAAAAGCATGCATTTTTCCCCATCAAAGCTATAGCAGTGGCTCGGGGACGCTTGTCCACGGCTAGCCTCCTCTGCAGTTATAGATAGTCGTGCAACAATTGTATTCATTCAATAAGTTACACATTGATTAATTAAGAGAAAGATCATAGATATATAAGTAAAGGATATTATCCCAGTTGGAATAAGACTTTTTAAAAAAAAAAACAGAAAGTAAAGCCATAAGAGTCTTTGAACTTTATGGACAAGTCCTTAAAATTTCAATTAAAAGTTGAAAGTCTTATTCAAAAATAAAAAATTTAAATTTAAATTTTATTTATGGACGGAACAAGTCCCAAAGTAATTTAATTTTATTATAATATATTGCAAAGGATAGGACACTCATAAATTTTCTAATGATCAAGGACTTTCATCCAAAACTAACTACAAAAACAAAACTCATAATTCCATTATATTTTTATTAATCTTTGTCTTTCATAAATATAAAATTAATTCACTTTGATTACATTAATTGAAACAGTAGTATTGGTGTATTTAGGAAGAAATCTCGGCTCACATGTGGTCAAGATCTACCCTACTATGGACACCGTCTATTCTACACTTACTTGAAAAGGATCCATAACGATCTTAAAAATTTAGATATCAAAATAGTACTAAATTCAAATGGGTAAAATTTAGATTCTTCATTTTGTTTCACTCAAGAAAAATATATAATTAGGAATAGATGTGTTATTCATTAAATTGCTCTGATTATCAAATTCTAGAATGGATGCTCCGAGGTGTGGTCTCTACTCAACAAGTCTCCTGTCCACTCAACTGCTCGAATTAGCAAATTATCACATTTCATTAGTATATACAACTCCTGTAAGATCTTTCCCTTACGATGAAATTTCAATTCTCATGAACATGACAACAAATCTCTGGGATTTCTCACTTTTAGGCCACTGAAGAAGCAGCAGAAACAATGGATATGGCGAGCAGCAGCTAAATTAACTGAAAAGAAAGAGATTATTATTTTTTAATCCTGAAAAGTTATTATGATGGCTGCACATATGTGGGGCGCGTAATATAAAAAGGTTGAGCTCGAAAGTGATGGAAGAATCATCAGTATTGAGTGGCCTAGTGGCTCGATGTGGGCGATCATCGGGATATATTCCTTGGCTTAATCGGACTCCCGATTTTATATCTCGCATTTGTACAACGAGAACATCTGGTGCTCGTTCTTGTGATTCGAAGAAGCTTCATTTCTCCAGGTTCTTGCTAGTTTTTTTTACCTTATCTTTGCCCTTGACGATTCAGATTGGTTCGTTTTCGTTAGGATTTTGATGGTTTATTTTGTTCATCGATGCTGTTTTTGATTGTTGTGTTCATCATTTCACATAAATTTGATCGCACTTTTGGCATTTCTCGACATATTCGACTCGAAATCAGTAGCAATTCGGAACTCACGTCCTCCCTGAGGAATAATGATCTGTTTGATTTCAGAAACGAGCTTGAATGATTGAATCTGCACATTTTAGACTCTCGTTTCTTGAGCTACATCATAATTATTAGTCTCTCATAGCTGATACCAATTGAATGTGACAAAGAGCCAATCTGTTCTCTGTTTAACTTTCTTTTTGTATGGTGTTTCAAATCTTGGTCCACAGAATCTTAGCTGTTTTTGTATGGTGTTTCAAATTGGTTGGGGAGGAGGACGAAACATTCTTTATAAGAGTGTGGAACCTCTCCTTAGTAGACGCGTTTTAAAAATCTTGAGGGGAAGCCCGAAAGTGAAAATCCAAAGAGGACAATATCTGCTAGCGGTGGCCTTGGGCGGTTACAAATGGTATCAGAGCCGAACACCGAGCGATGTGCTAGCGAGGAAGCTGAGCCCCGAAAGGGGTGGACTCAAGGTGGTGTACTAGTAAGGACGCTGGCTCCAAAAGGGGTGGATTGGGGGGTCCCACATCAATTGGAGAAGGGAACAAGTGCCAGCGAGGATGCTGGACCCGAAGGGGGTGGATTGTAAGATCCCACATCGGTTGGGGAGGAGAACGAAACATTCTTTATAAGAGTGTGGAAACCTCTCCCTAGCAGATGCATTTTAAAAATCTTGAGGGGACGCCTGAAAGTAAAAATCCAAAGAGGACAATATCTGCTAGCGGTGGCTTGGGCTGTTACAAATTGTATCAGAGCCAGACACTAGGCGATGTGCTAGTGAGGAGGATGAGCCCCGAAGGGGAGTGGACATGAGGCGATGTGCCAACAAGGACGCTGAGCCTTGAAAGAGGGTGGATTGGGGGGTCCCACATCAATTGGAGAAGGAAACGAGTGCCAGCGAGGACGCTGGGCCCGAAGGGGGTGAATTGTGAGATCCCATATTGGTTGGGGAGGAGAACAAAACATTATTTATAAGGGTGTGAAAATCTCTTCCTAGCAGACGCGCTTTAAAAACCTTGACGGGAAGTCCAAAAGGGAAAGCCTAAAGAAGATAATATCGGCTAGTTTACCGTTTTGTTTCTGAAAACTGTGCAGGCTTGGATTTAATGTTTATACTCTAATCTTAAATGGCTCACGGTGTCATATTCATTTCAAATTTTGGGTATTTGATGGCTTAACTATCTGAATGTTTTTTCCCTTTGGTTTTTGGGATTCAGGAGAAAGTGGACAAACAAGAAGTTGATTTCAGGAAAATTTACGTGTAAAATGGGGAACACCAAAGAGAAAGGAATCACAATAGACACTATCTCTGGGAATATGATTTTTGAGCCTATACTGGAAGATGGCGTTTTTCGTTTTGATTGTTCTGCAAACGATAGAGCTGCGGCTTATCCAAGTTTTTCTTTCATAAAATCTAAGGATAGAGACACACCGATTTCTAGCCAGAAGCTTGCTACATATGTTCCTGTTTTCGAGTGTCACCTTGGCCAGCAGATTGTTAAACTTCAGGTCCGTTTTCGTATAAATATTATCATTTGTCATTTGATATCTTGCAGTTATGGTATCTGATCATGAATTATACACTTTGAGTCTTGAAATCCATTCAAATTAATTTGACAAATTTGACTTATACAGCTTCCTGCTGGTACCTCCTTTTATGGAACTGGGGAAGTTAGTGGACAACTCGAGCGAACGGGGAAAAGAGTATGTTAATAATTGGGTATACTTGATATTAGTTAGTTAATTCTTCTTGACCTTAGCAGTTCCCTCCCTTGTAGATTTTCACATGGAACACAGATGCTTATGGATATGGTTCTGGAACTACATCCTTGTACCAGTCACATCCATGGGTATTGGCCATTCTTCCAAATGGGGAGGCTCTAGGCATTCTTGCCGACACGTTCCTGCGTTGTGAGATTGATCTGAGGGAAGATTCAATAATACAATTCATCGCTCCTTCCTCATACCCCGTCATTACATTCGGTCCATTTTCCTCGCCATCAGCTGTTTTAAAGTCCTTCTCTAAGGCAGTTGGTAACTTGCTTTTCAATTCTTAACTTTTCTGTATTTTTACATTGCTTTAACTCATCAAACAAGATTTATAATTTATAATTTTTGGTCGATGAAGTTATTGCTCAATAGTTTGGTCGTTGTAATCGAGTCATCATCATCTATAATTTGGATTTTAACCGTGTTAAAAAACTCTCAGCTTTTGTTATAAGCCTTAACGGGTTATTTTCTCACTAGGCACTGTGTTTATGCCCCCAAAATGGGCCTTAGGCTACCACCAATGCCGTTGGAGCTATGATTCTGCTGATCGAGTACTCGAGGTAGGCTGGAACACACTGATATTTTCATAATCAGGGACAATTGGTCTTATGAATATGGCTTTGTGCAGGACTAGTATATCTATGTCAGCCCAACTACTGGTATATTTTAAGCAAGTGTTCATGTCTTTTCCGTTCTTGACTATGCAAAAAGCAATATACAACAATTCTAGTTAGAATTTAGTCTATTTAAGGTCCTAAAAGGAATATTTAAGCTGTTAATCAGTTTCTTTTTCTGCAAACTATTGCAGGTTTCAAGAACGTTTCGAGAGAAAAATATACCCTGCGATGTTATATGGATGGACATAGACTACATGGATGGTTTCCGTTGTTTCACTTTCGACCCTGTATGTCATTGTCTAATTGATCTCCATCAAAGACGACTGCATTTTACTTCTTATTTTAATCATCTTTAACATGATTTTACGT